TTTCAAATTGTAAGCGCTGTCCCCAGAAGACACTTCAGAAGTTGAGCTGCCCAGATTTGTAATTGCAAGCAGTGTCCCCTGAAGATTTTCCAGATAATGCGCCGACCGCATTTCAAATTGTAAGCGCTGTCCCCATAAGACATTTCAGAAGTTGAGCTGCCCAAATTTCTCATCGCAAGCAGTGTCCCCTGAAGATTTTCCAGATAATGCGCCGATCGGATTTCAAATCGCAAGCGCCGTCCCCCTAAAACTTTTCAGAAATTGAGCTCACTCCCCCCATAAGACTTTTTGGATAGTGAGCTGCCCAAATCACAAATCGCAAGCAGTGACCCCTCAAGATTTTTATGAAAATGTGCTTCCCACATTTAAAAATGGCAAGCGCTGTCCCCCTAAAACTTTTCAGAAATCGAGCTGCCCAAATTGCAAGCACGGTCCCCTGAAGGTTTTTCAGATACTGAGCTGCCCAGAGCAAAAAAAACATAAGTATTGAATCCTTGGCCCTGTTCGCCTGTTTTATGTGTACAAATCCCATACTACAGGTATCTCAATTTTCAAGAGGATTTCTCAAGTCTTGGGCTTCTTCTCTTCTCTACATAGTTAGTTAAAAATGTGCTGCAAACTTCAATGGGAATTAACCGTTATTCAGAATATTACATGAAGTGCAGACCATGAAAATGTTCCTGGTAAGGGGCTTATGAAACGTGAAAAAGCCCAAGACTCGAGAATTTGTTTTTGGCATATTTGGGAAGGAACTTCTACATACAAAAGTGAGGAGAGCAGGAGCCCTGGAGCGCAATAAGATTTAAAGCCAAAAGCAACCAACAACTTACTATTCAGGCTATCAGTAGAACCAAACCTCTGTTCCTACAAACAGAATAGAAGTCTCAGCTCCACAATAAAGATACAAGAGAGATACAATTGACTTGAGAGAAGTGGAATCTCCAGTTCCTTGCAAGTGTTTCTTCTGAGCCCATAGAAATTCAATAGAACCGATTGGAGCTTGAGTTCTCTCTTCAAATGGGGAAGGTTTTGTGTTTTTAAGTACGACAAACCGCACTGTATTTCAAGAATTCGTTTCACATAATGTGCTATATATAACGCCTGTATAGAATCAAGCCTATGTTCTTCAGAAGAGAAATCTCTTTTCCCTTCAGACAAGAGCAGCCCTATTGATATTGTCGACGAGTTTGACAAAAATCTACTCTAGAACACGGGTTCCGTTCTAGAACGAAAGGCGTATTTGAGAATGATATATAAGCATGACGAGGTCTTCCCATATGGGAATTCCTTGCGGCGTTGAGCCATTAAACCAATTTTTTGCTCATATGGAAATCCGTTGAACCTTTTACTTGGTTTCCATATGGGGAAACCATTGTTTTGACGGCTTGACGGTTCGTTGGTGATAGGCGTTCATGGCCATGCTTTCCAGGTTTAAGGATGCCTTGACCCTTACCACACAAACATATATACTAAAACAAATGTTTGTTTTTGGGCAGGGCTATTTTGTAACATGGGGCGTTTTAACGGGCTTCCAAAAGGGGAAGCCATTGGTTCTCTCCACAGCATTTCGTGCGTTTCCCTTGTATAACTGGTTGAATTACTTATAAGCTATTAGAATACATAACCACGAAATTCAAGGGATTCAGATAAGTGTTTCGAAACATGGGGTTGTTTCAAAACAGGTGGCACGCACCATGAAAACATTACACCACTGAACCATTGAGCCACCGAAGCGCTAGACCATTGAACCAGAAAACCGTTGGACCATTGAACCAACGCATCTTCAAACCGTGAAGCCAATGGCTCCCCCATATGCAAATCCATTGAATCATTAAACATTAAAGCAATCAACCCTTGAGCCATTAAACCAGCGAACCAATAGTTTTCCCCATATGGTAATCCATTGAACAATTGGACTGTTAAACCAATGGTTTTCCGCATAGGGGAATCCATTGAACCGGAGAGCCATCGAACTAATGGTTTTCCCCATATGGGAATCCATTGAACCATTTAATGGGTTTCCATATGGGGAAACCATTGTTTTAATGGTTTAACGGTTCCTTGGTTCAATGTTTTAATGCTTCAATGGCTCCATGGTTCGATGTATTTCCAATACTTGCTGCATTGCTTTGATAATGCAGGATTGCCTAGTATGTTGTGCAAGTGAAGTGATTATCAGAATATGAAAGGCGCATCTAGATACCATGCCTGCATAATAACATGCAAAGCATGCAACGTCTAATCACATAAATCATATATCGTTTTCTTTTGTATTCTGAAGATCAGGGGTTTCGTAAACCTTGAATACTATATTACATACGTACACGCAAGAATTAGAATAGGTTTGTATATAGTAAACATGAAGCGGTGGTTATATAAACCCTACAAGTATCGGGCTCATATAGATATGCATGTAACGCTTAGGGTTTAGGGCTATAGGGAATACGGAAACATGTACAATAGGATCCTACGGAGATTATATTCCCTTATTCCTTTACTAACCACCAGTAAGATGAGAGCCAGTTGTCAAGACTTGCGACTCGTGTGGTGGGTAAACCCAAACCCCAAATTCATTAAATCCTGTAAGCGCTAAGCCTTGTAAACCCTATAAACCCCATAAACCCCATAAACCCCATAAACCCCATAAACCCTATAAACCCCATAAACGCTATAAACCCCATAAACGCTATAAACCTTATAAACCCCAAGCCCTAAATCGTAAGCGTCAGCTGCCTCTGTGAAGGAGCTGGACTCGGCATTGAGAACACTTCGGACAAAGTCATGGCTCTCGGGCCATGCGCCAAGTAGGGAGCAAGGAAATATAATGCCTACGTAATATTTTCCCATGTTCCCTACTAAGCGCCAGTAAGATTCAGCCAGAGCATGGTCAAAACATGCGGCAAAGGTACGCCTGCTTTTCGCAGCCTTCTGCCGCTTCGTGTTTCTGATTCTGGGGAGTGTGCACTGCTGAGGTGCAAAGGAGCGGGTGCAGCTGTGCACAGTTGCAGATTCCACATGCTCGAAACCTTTCTCAGAGTGCCATAAGTAGCCATGGGCTTGCAAGACTGACTTCATGAAGCTGTGAGGAGTATGCAATCGCTCTGGGCTGCCTGGGACGTCAAACCTCCTGGCCGGAGGTAGCTGAGCACGAACAGTTTGAAGCAGTCCAGCTACACTAAACTGAGGCCTTCGAGCTTTGGCAGGAGATGCGGTCCCCTGGCTTAGACTTCCATGATTTTGTACCGGCTGCTATTTCCAAGTTCTCTTGGTGTTGTAACGGCTGGGGTTTTCAGACATAAAATGCAGCGTCATTACACGGTGCAGTGCACGCAAGATACAGTTGAAAGTGGAACGTCATACCAAGTCTGCAGATGCAAGGGCATCCACTTACAGTCTTGCTGCTGCTGCACTGTCTAAACTGCAGTCAAAGTTGCCGCCTTGGCTTGCCTCAGCTTTGGCTTGAAGTGCCTTCCAATATGCAAAGCAATTAGATCAGTGAGTCAGGTAGTATATCTTAAGTGGAGCTCTCCACCCTGTAATACTGACTAAGAGGGATCACAGTGATAATGTCAGGGTCCTCTAATATTCCTGCTATACCACTATTACAGGGTGAAGGCTACCCCTAAAATATGTTGCATACCTTACAGCCGTTGGTCGAGACAGTGTCGAGACATTTGACAGTGCGCAATGCCAGCGCGGACCAAGAACGACAGTGCCATGAAAAAGGGATACACCCTGCTGGAATCCTTTGGGCAGGTGCGCATTTGAACTCCGTGCGTTCGTATTGGAGCTCTCTCATTAATGTCAACATATTTGTCATGAGAATTTCGGGGATTGGGTTACTCTAAGGTTAGACTGAGGATTGCAGTAGGCACGCGGGGAAGCCATACCTCAGAAGAAGCCATTGCGAGGACGATGTGGTTGCCTGAGCAGCATGCATGCCTCTGTTTAGCATGCCTCTGTAGTTGTGTTTTATAGACTCGAGATGCACAGAAGCATCTCGAATGAGTTGCAAAGCTTCAGTCCCGCAGCTTCTGCAGAGACTGGGTGTGGAGAGGTGCAAAGTGCACCAGTCCCTCCGGACATCTACGGAGTGACGATGACCATTGCCACTTGGCAGTCATAAAGGGTACTTTTTGTTGTCAGGTGGGGTATATGCCAATCTTCACTGAAAGGATCTGGTTTCAGGTTTCAACCTTTAACCTTCAACTCTGGATCTCAGGCTTGGTGTTGAAGAGCCTGCATAGGGCAGTCTTGCATGCCATGACCTTGTGATTCAATTTAAGCCTTTCTGGCAGAGTGGCAGTAGTCGAGCACATGAAGATATGTGCGCCATTGCCTTGTCCATATCCAGGTCATGCAAGACTTGCCAAGTCTATTCAATCCGGCGCTGCGAAGCTTGTGGGGAGCTCGGTGGGTTTCTTCAGGTTCTGGGAGCCTGGCAGGTAAGGCCAGACGATTCTTCTGAGAGGCATGACATGTTCATTAACCGATATTCTGCTACTAACAAGAGAAACAAGAAACTCCAAGACCCCCTGGTGATGATGGTGCTGTGGCGATGCTACCAGGGGTGATGGTGCCAATAGAGACGGTATGGAAAGGGTAATACGGGTCGTGCCCTCACATGTTTGCAGCATCTATAAGCATGCCAATACCATGGTTTTTTGCCGTGAAGCCAACACCAGGATCGGAAGTTTCATTGTGACTTTTTTGAAGCCCGGTACAACCGACTAAGCTCTGGGCTGATCTCAGTCAATGGTGATGGCCACACAGGAGGCAGCCGCATGCAGCAGAATGCGCAGCGCTGCTGCCAACTTTGCTTAAGCCAACCCGCCACAGCTGCGGTGGCAAATTTTTGGAACATCGTGAAACACTTTGTCTGTGCCCCAATGGATTCTGGATTGAAGCTTCTCTGGTAGCGAATGTCCTTGGCTTGCAGCCCTGGGCTCATCCTGGACAACCTCCCGCTCGCATAGACACGACCGAAGCCAAAGGTTTAGGGTTTAGGGTTGATTAAAAGGGCACCTGAGACGAACAGTTCTTTCGCCCAGGCCTGGACATTCAGGACAAGTTCTAGTGGAAAACACCAATGCTGCAGGACTTAACTCCCAGCTCCTAGTGCGCTGAAACATTGCACTTGCCGGGTGTCGCCCAACCGCCCGGAAACTCTCAAGACAACTTTGGGACCTCACCACCAGAGGAAAGCTCCTAGACCACCAAGCAAAAATCAAACCATCCTGTAGCTTTCATGCATAGGTGTAAGTTGTCTGTCGTTGTGCATGATGCCTGCTGTTCTTACCAGTCGGGTCGCGGCCAGGAGCTTTATCTTCCCAATAGATCTGAAGCTTTCTAAGCTTCCTTTAAGAAGATTTCCCATTGGCTAGCGCGGCCTGAAGGTTGAGGGCAGAGATGTTTGAAAGGCTGTCGACTGCGCGTCTGGCCTTTGGCTGCATTGCTGCAGCCACGAACCTGTGGCTTCAGCTCATGAAGCTTGGACTTATTTCATGCACAGCCTTTGTGCAAAAGGCAGCTGAATCTATTTTCTGAAAAAAAAAAAAACGTTTTCACTTGATGACAGACTGTCTTCTTGCAGCCTGGCATTTGCCTGTTATCACGAGGATCTTGTGGTACGTCAACGCATACCTGGTTGACGGTGGCTGCCCCAAGCTTTCTGAAGCTTCAGACTTAAACGATCTCAGGCAGAGCGTTTTGGCCTTCTAAGGAGCAGTCCATCTCTTGCAGGAGTGGGTCCGAAGCAATGAGCTGTTTGCATTTGCCTGTGCGGCACATTGAAGAATGGCAGGAGAATTATGCACAATTTCATCGCGAGATCTTTGATCGGCATGGCACCTTTCTGCCGGAGATATGGCGGACATGGACAGGTCCATATATGGACATTTGGCTAAAGTAGTTTTGGCGGTGCCGACTAGGAGCCGCTAGTTGGAAGGACGATGTTTGCAGCATGCCAGGCAAAACTACGAAAGCAACCTTGTGATTTCATCTCCACTCGCCCACAGCCAATTGTGCTGCTTGCTGTCAGCTTTTGGATCTGAGGAGCTTTGCAACATGCCAGTAACGCGGGAGAGATTCGCGATGGCCATAGTTTTTCTCTGGTGTGCGAGGCGAGAGGGGTGGTTTCTGCAAAAGGCTGATTCAGTGTTGAGCACGAAACTTATTGTTCACAGCAGTACTAAGTACCCTGACCACATTGCCCGCGTTACCACGTTTCACAATTTGGGGCTCCCAAATTACCTGGCAGCTGCCACCACAACCGCCACCACCACTGCCACCGCCACTGCCACCGCTACCGCCACCGCAACCGCCACCGCCG